GGGCCAGATGGACCCATGTCCTGTTGGGGAGTCCACTTCATAGTCGATGTAGAGGCCTGACCACCGCATTGTATTTCTGAAACTGATGTTGAATAATACTGTATGTCAACTATAATTATATATATACATATAGTCTCGAGACATGGAGTAGAGAGCGGGAACGGATTCAATGGAATTGTAATAGATAAGCATGATATCGGGGGTGGGAGGGCAATAGATGGGGGGAGGGGGGTTGTTACTTTGTGAGGGTGAAAATGGTAACTATTGCATTGTTCTGTACACCTGAAACTAACAATAAAAAAAAAGAATCATTTGGAGTGTTTTACATATTTTATTTTGCTATTCAGGAATGAAAAGAATGAACTATTGATACACTCAACATGGATAAATCTCAAAATCATGCTGAGTGATAGAAGTCAGACAATAAAGAGTACATATTGTATTCCTTTATATAAAATTCTAGAAAATACAAACTAACATATTGTAACAGAAACAGATCAGTGGTTGCCTAGGCACGGGGTGTACGGGGTGACTGGCTGGGGGTTGGGAGAGAGTGAGGAACAATCAAGGAACATAAGAAACTTTCAGAGGTGATGGATATGTTCATTATTTCAATTGTAGTGATGGTTTCATGGGTGGGTAAATTTTTCAAAACTTATTGGATTGTACAGTTTAATATGTGTCATGTATTGTATATCAATTCTAGCTTAAAAATGCTTTTTTGAAAGGGAAAATGATAAAAATTATGCCACCTTTTAGTAGGAAAATGAATAAATGAGCTGTGATTCATTCATACAATGGAATGCTATGCAGCAGTGAAAATCAATGAAATAGATCTTCATGTATCAAAACAGACAATGAGTTAAAAAGTAAGTTGCCAAAGGAAGCTACAGTATGATATATACTTAAATGTTTACTGGTACCATATGTATCGAAAGTGTAAATTTGGAATGATACACATTAAGTTTAGTAGTCTGGCTAAGGAGGGGCATGAAGGAGGAAGGGATGGGGGTGGTGTGTTGGCTGTACTTACAATGCTAAGATACAGAGCAAACTGACAAAATGTTAACATCTGTGAAATCTGGGTGGTGGGTACATGGGCATCTGTTATATTATTTTCTGTACTTTTCTGCATGATTGAAATAGTTCATAATTTTTTAAAAGTTTAAGCAGTTCTCCATCCCACTCTCAGCATCCGGTTCCCCTTGCCAAAGGCAAATGCTGTTATCAGTTTCTTGTGTGTCCTTCAGGAGATATTTTATATATATATATATATTATATTTTTATGTGTGTGTAAGTATATATACATATAAATGAATACATATATATTTATATATAAAAGATATATATATATATATTTACTTGTGTGTGTAATTTTTTATTTTATATATATATATATATATATATATCTTTTTGAACAAGACAATTTGGAGGATACTGTATACACTGCTCTGTATCTTTCTTTTCTCACTCAACAAAGCTTTGGAAATGGTTCCAATTCAATTCATAGAGACACTCCTCATCCTTTGTAATAATGCTTAGCATTCCATCATATGGATAATTAGGCTATTTCCCATCTCTTGCCATTACAAACACATTATAAACACACATTTTGTACATCTGTCTGGCTGTACTACCTGCCCTTTAAAACAAATTATATACCACATCACATTCAATCTTTTCTTAGCTCCACAGGGCTTACGTATAAACAGCAATGAAAACACTGGGCTGCAGAAAGAGTGATGAGGAATGAAGTTCTGAGGAAGGGAAGTCAGCATTTTTCAGAATCAAAGGTATGAGCTTTGTTGCATAGATGTTACATATATATCAGCTACTCTGGGCTTTGGGTTACTCTCCAGTTCCTAATTGGCTCTGGGCAGGTGAGGTGATAGGATAGTTGCTTCATCCTGAGAGGAGGGAAAGGACCCAGAGCCACTAGGGCATTAACAAGAGACAGACAGTGTTGAGTTTTGGTGCATGTCCAGCTGCAGTGAGGAGCCAGCGCTCATCCTGGCTTTACTTGACAGCATTCTGTGCCTTTTAAAGAATAATTCTCTGTGTTCTGACAGGAGGGAAGGAGAAAGTCCTCCAGGTGAGAGACTCAGGGTAGGAGGAAGAGGTCTGGACAGTGTAAGACGTTCATCCCTCCTTCTTGGCTATGATTTTTTTTTTTTTTACATTATACAATCATGATGGGATTCTAGAAAAGAACTCCTCTAGAATACTCAAATAATACCACTAATGATAATAGTAATAATATCAATTATTTATTGCAGTTTCCAAAGTAGTTTCTTACCAGGGAGGCAGTGTAGCCCAATGGTTAGAGCATAGACACTGAAATCAAACTGTCTAGATTCAAACCCTGGCTCCACCACTTCCTGTGTGGCTTAGGGTAGCTTATTTAACTTCTCTGTGCTTGTTTTTCTCATCCGTAACATGGGGATGATACAAGCACTTACTTTACAGGGCTGTAAAAGATTAAATTATTAAAAAATGTGTAAGAGTCTGATTTTAGGTAGTGACTGGCACATACCTGGTGAATGCTTGGTAAATGTCAGTTACCATCATCGTCATCATCATCGTCATCATTATTAGTGCAGTTGTAAGTAATAGGAAGAATTGGTGTAAATGGACAGAGCTGGTAATCTGATTAGCCATTGGACTGAAGGCTTGCAAATAAATGCAGAGGTAATAATATCTTCCCATGGACAACAAAGAGAACTGTGTTAGGCAGAGCAAACAGTGTTACAATGTGAACCAGCAAGGAAGGTGAAGTCTGCTTAAGGCCACTGCTGGGCGCTCATGTGACAGTGCCAGGCAGTGACGGAAGGTTATGACATTACGTGACATATGGAGTAAAGATGAAGCTAGTGGTTCTCTGGAGCTGTCTCTTGAGAGCTGGCTGTTAAAACTGAGGGCATATTGCAATCTAATTGTTAAACACAGCCATTATTTAAAAATAAATTAGGTAGGAGTCCCGGTTAGCTCAGTTGGTTAGAGCGTGGTACTGATAACACCAAGGTTGCCAGTTTGATCCCCACATGGGCCACTGTGAGCTGCACCTTCCCTAAAAGAGTCAACTATGCCATTGCAGCATGAAAGCAATGTGTAACCAATGACCATGGCTGTTCCCCAATACAATTTTTAAAATAAATAAATAAATAATAAATAAAGTAAACTTGCAATTCAGTAAATTACATTAAAAAAGGAATATTCAAAATTCATCACACCCAAATTATTTTGCTACATTTTGCCATTATCTGTGCTCTTGAGGTTATTTTCATCTATTTTATCCATAAAGCAGAAATACTATTAGTGGTGTGCTACTGTGCACTTCTGAACTCCATGTTCACTGACATCACATCGGCAGTTTGTAACCAGTCATCATGGGGGCAGTTACACTAGGGAGATGGGCAAACATACAGACCAGGGCTTGTTTTATTGATAATATGGATTTAAGAAAATGCTGGAGAAAAATGTTAATAATGCAGATTAAATGTAAAAGTGTATCATTCTTGTAGCTGTTTACATTGCAAAGAGCACAACACATTGAAGAATTCTTTCAGTGTTCAAACAGAAGATGCTCACATCCCAGACAGACTAGTGAAGTTTCCCCAGAAGCCTTCACCGTTTCACTCTGTCTTACTTGTTAACATTCATGTGGGAACTACAGTCCACTGCTGGACTGGGACTGAGGGTGTGAAACATTTCCCAGCACAGCAGTGGATGAAGCCTATGGAGGTGTCTCTCTGTCACTGAAGTGGGGAGAGGGGACAACCTTAACTTCCATCAGCAAGCTTCCGGGGCTTGGCTGCTATGAGAGGTAAACAGCAGAGACAGCGCTGCTCCCTATTAACATGTGGACCCTAACCCTGGAAGAGCTGGCACAGCACTGCAGAAAGAGGGTGGGAACTGGGCAAAGCAGAGCGCTGACCACACCCCGATGGTTGCCTCTGGGCTCATACAAGACAGGGGGCACAGAGTGATCAGATCAGCAAAAATGGTCCAGGCTGAGCAGGTGGTGGTCAAAGTGAAGGCCGCTTTGCGAGTCTGCCAGCCTAAGGCCTGACGATGTAGTCAGACAGGAAAAGTGCCAGGTACACTTTTCAAGTTACAAGCTATGGTTTATAACTTACTGCAAACAGCATACATATGGAATTCCTCACTTTTAGTGGGTTTTCCATTCTAGGGGTGGGGCCGGGTTACAAAGGATGGGGCAAGGCCATTACACACAGCGTGAGGCACAGGAACAGGGTTTCTCCCCAGCCCTGCCACTCGCTCCTTTTGTTGAGAGGTTGGTGTGGGCGTTTCTTCGAAAGGAAGCTGTTTCAAGGGTTAATGTGTTGAGTGCTTCTGTTAAAAAAAGGAGACTCTACTGTGATGGTCAAGGAGGAAGTGACTCTAGCAAGAAGAAAACACCTATAGTGAACCTGGCCTTGAAGTCACACCCAGGAGGGCCCATGTCTACTAGGGAGCCGAGTGTGTCAATACCCAGTGAAAACCATGTCCCATGTAGTCAGAAGATTGGCAGTGCCATCCCAGCCTTGCCGCCTGGTGGTGATCTTGGGCAGTCATGTACTTTTACCTGAACCTCAGTTTCCACATCTATAAAACACGAGGGATGAATGAAATGACCTCTAGAGACACATCAGATGGCACAAGTCTATAGGCCCATGTAGATCTCTCAATGGGTTTCAGCTTTTTTTGTCGTCAAGGTGCTGAACTATTCTGTGCTGAACTCCCCGCCCTGGAGGAATTGAGCAGGCCAAGGAGGAATGTCGGGAGAAAGGATGGGGAGAGGAGGCCACGCTAAGGCGTGTCGGAGAAGTGGGGCACAGGTGTTGTGGCAGAGTGAGGAGGGAAGAGGCGAGAAGGGGGCCATGAGTGGAGATGCACCGTCCCGCCAAGCGGGTACCTGGTGCTCTGCCCCAGCTCCGTGCCAGGCGACATGGCCATTCGGACACCCCCTCCGTCACCGGCACGCCCTCTGGGCCCCTTACCCTGCAGCATCGCCGACGTGGTGTAGTAGTTGAACGGTACGTTTTTCACCAGGTATTCCTCGGGGGCGAGGCTGGACAGCTGGGCTCCCACCAGCACCGACTTGCCCGTGCCTGCCGTCCCCACCAGCATGACTGGCCGCCGCCGCTCCAGGAGTCGCTCCATGAAATAGCATACTCGGATGGTCTCACTTGTGTGCACCAGACAAGCCTGGAAAGGGAACACGAGTGTGCCAGGGGCTCGTGGGAGAAACAGATGCACCGCAAAATGCTCTAGAGCATTTTGGGAGAGGGGATTCTGTGGTCATGGCAGAGCTCAATACCTCAGGCAGGAGGTCTTCCCGAATGTCCACAGTAAGGCCATCCTGTAACTTGTTCTTTGGGTGGAGAGCACCCCTTCCTCCTCCAGCAGCTGCCTGCCTCCCTGTGGCCTCTCCAATGTATCTCAGAAACTTCTGCTGCCATCGCCCTCTGGCCCCCCCCGGTTGATAGTGGGGCCCAGTAATTAAATTATCTAGCCTTTGGGGAACCTTGTGACATCACTGCACTATGATTTCCTCTGAAACGGTGAGCAGCTGGTGATGACTAATTCCTAGCAAGGTCAAAACTCTTGGATATCGCTAAGGGGCTGCTACTAGACTCACTGCACATCCTTGCTACTCAGCCACACTCACCTGCAAAGGCATCTCAGGGTCAAATTCAAACTGGGGGATGAGCTGGGACCACAGTTCGAATTTCTTGGTCTCTGGGTCTATGTAATAGTCAAAGATGGTTCCCTGGGAAGGAAACTTGACTGTCTTGAACTCTGTCAGCCACCATTTGCTGAATTCTGCCCGGTAGTCCACAAGCTGTCAAAACAAAACAGTTGGCGATCAAGGCTCTCCAGAGCTCAAGAAGACTGGACAGGCTGCCCAGGCAGCAGGCAGAAGGGCAGGGCAGAGAATACAAAGTGCTCCTCTTGTGCAGGCCTGCTCGATGGACCAGCTCTTCCGGAAAGGATGCTGCTCTGCTGAGGACCAGCCCTGAACAAGGCCCAGCTAAGCAGAGACCACCCTTGAACATGAGCCAGCGCCTCTGCCTGACCACGCAGCTGAGCCTCCCTGGCATCGGCGCATCTCAGAGCCATCTTGGGGTAAAGGGTAAGGGAGGAAGGTACAAGAACATGGAGGAGAGTGGGAGCCCGCGACCACAAGATGGGCAAGTGTGGTCGAGAACTCCTAGAGAGATAGATTGTCCCCTATTCTAGACTCCCAAGACTCAGCAATGTCCAGGATGGCAGCCAGGGATGGAATGAATAAAATGGTGACTGTTGACACCTGGGAGCACAGGGGGATTAAGTGAGAAGATTCGGGGGAGTCAGGTACATAACCACAGGCAAATCCTGGCTTTTTGTGCTTTAGTTTCCTCATCTGTAAACTGAGGATCCTAGAAAAGAAGGTATCTAAAGTTCCTTCAAGAGCTAAAATTCTAAAATCTACGAGAGCAGAGACAAAGCTGTGCTGGTCTTCAGACAGAAGGAATAGGTGAAGACATAATTTACAAGCACACATATTAAACCATGAGCCCTAAGGATAGGGCTGTGTACCCAGGATACTCAGGCTATTTTATTGTGTCCAAGCTAAAACATATGTGTGTGTACACACACACACACACACACACACACACACACACACACACACACACCTCAAAACACACCTGTAGTTTCCGGCAACCCTCTGGGGGCGCAAAACCACTATGAAGACACAAACCTGGGAAAAATCCTAAGAAGGAAAAAGGCCTAGATTGGGCATTTTAGGAAATGTTCCCAGAGGGCAGAACAAAGATGGAATTCAAAGGCTGGATAGACCAGGGAACTGGGCGTATGGCAGAGTCTGGACTTGGAAGAAATGGCACTCCTCATGTTGCTATCTATTAGGTAAGTAGAATTGAATTCTTTCGCCTTGAAATGAGAATGGAAACAGACTCTAAGGTAAGGACAGATTTGTTTGCTGCTCTTTCAGGGAATGCTGCATCCTCTCAAAATTGTTCTCTACAATCAGAAGCCTTGGAAAAAACTCCCATTTTAGCTCATGGGTAAATTTCTTGAAGACCTTTAACTTCCTATGATAACAGATTTTGAGTTAATATGGAAAATCCGAGATGAGGACCACCTCTAGAAAACAGGAGATCTTTTCCTTTCCTCACCCCAATTACACCTTGAGCTACCCGGTCAGTTTCCCAGACAAGCCCGCTGGGCTGCTGAACATGGTCTCGCCTTCCTGACCTTGACCTCACCTTCTTCTACAATTGGACACTTGAAAAACAAGGTCTTTGTTGAGTCATCCCCACAGCGCTTTCTCATGTCAATAGGTTTGCTGTGTCTTCAGTAGTGACCTCAAGGAAGCCCCTTCTGAAATGCCCATCTTTGGATTCCGACAAGTCTCTGGTCTCCCTCCAGCCCTTTGAACTTGATGACACTGAGAGTACTGGCACACTGCAGCAGCTTCCAACACATCATCTCATTTGATTTTCACAATGCTCTAAGTTAGCCTAGCTAGGGAAAATGATCCCTATTTTATATCTAAAAAGACAAAAGCTCAAAAGGCCTTTACATTCCTTTACATTTATACTTCTAGAAGCATATGGCAGAACTGGGGGTTGAACACAGATTTTTGGTCTCCCAGTTCAGTGCTCCCTTAGAGGTCGTTTGCTTCTGAGAGGTCATTTCCTATAGATGCTGCCAAGTCTTTACCACCACTCCCCCCGCCCTTTTATTATGGGCCTTCTGCTCAAGGATAGGCTGTATTTTGTATTTCTGCTTGGTTTTGATGACAGCTTTTTAAACGTAAGAACCACTGGTGTTCCTGATGTAAATGTTTTGGCCAATTTCCTGCTTTTCAATTTGGAGCACTCTTTTTGGTGTTCGGCGTGAATGCAGGAGTAGGGGTCTTGGATATTCCCTGCTGCTAAAAGCTTTTCCCCTTGTCTTCTCCCCAGGTGCCAGCAGGGCTGCCTACAGCTGCAAGTATTCCAGAGCCTGGCATGCCTGGAGGGGTGCCTTCTCCTGGGTTTTTAAAGAGTTGAGTGGATTTAAATTTTTCTGTACAGAGATAGAAAAATTGACCAGGTATCTTCCTCCTGATACCTCACTGCTTGTTCGGCACCAACACGGGAGAAAAGCCCAGCAGTGGTTCCTGTCTGTCATTTCTTTCAGCAGCCGAAAGGTCAGGGACTGCATTTGATGCAAAGTAATAACCTATGCATTTTGGGTCTCTGTGCATTTCAACGAGGTCTCATCCATCCTGCTGGACTCACTGCAGCCCTGCCTCAAAGAGGGAAGTAAAATGTCAAAGGAGCAGTCCGTGGAGGAGTTCCAAGGGTGCGGGACAGACTGCATGAAATTCTCAAATGTCCAACTCCCAGTCCGGGCACCGTCCTGCCCTTGGAGACTTCCCCCTTCCCCTCAGCATCAGCTCTGGAGACGGAGATGGAGAAAGGCACATGCCCCAAGAGCTTGGGAGAGCTGCTTTCTGAACTTTGAGCACTGAGGAACACGTTAGGGGATGATGGGAGGTGGAATGGGTATTACAACCAGAGGCTGTGAACATGGACAATCAATTAATTGTTAATTCTCCCACCTCACCTCCATTTTGGATTTTTAGAAATGGCTTTGTCCTGGGTGGCTGTAACTTTTTACCTCTCTCCTCGAAAGAGCCCACAATTAACCCAGACCAGGAAGAGTCAATCATAACTCTCTAACAACTGCAGCTTAGTTTGACCCCCTGTTGTGAGAAAAGCACCAGATATTTGCTCTGAAACTGAGTATTTATGGTACAAGAATATTAGTAATAAGCACATATGTGTGCCAGCACCATTCTTAATGCTTTGCCCATATTCGTGGTGGACAGTTAGAACAGTACCCCTTTGTTTAATCCTTACAACCACCCTCACTATCACCGGTGTCATCTCCTTTGTACACACGGGGAGAATAAGGTAGAGAGGGGTTATGTGACTTGCCACTGTCCCCCAGGTAGTAAATGTCAGAGCTACAGTTCAGATCCAGAATCCATGTTCTTAACCCGTATACATTTCCTGACAGCTAACGTCAGTTGTAAAACACTGAGATGCATAATTTTGAATATGTTTCTAGATAAAATACCTTTTATTTAGAGGAAACTAAGTAAAGAACAAGGCTGGGAATGTGTAAATGTTAGGGAATAGGATGCCAAGATACTCCAGGAAAACATCCCACCCCCAAAGAGCATGAAGCTACAGTTGCCAACACCATGGGACAGTCACTACTTTGGTTTCCTACCCCGAGGTGTCAGTTGACTTTTGGTCCAACGTTCTGTGAACAGATCTGCATTTCCGGGGTGTGGGGCATGCTGGTTAACTCTGGCCTGGTTAAGACTGGTGCATGCTTATTCTGGAAGATTTTTAGAAGGCTAAACGGATTCCTCCTATTCAAGCTTCTACAGCACAGCATCATTTTGCCTATAAAGCACACATCACCTTGAAAAGAACTGTACTTATACCTCCAGTTGTTCAAATTCAAACACTGCAACTCTCCATGAAATCAAAGATACATTCGCTAACTCAAAAAGCAACAGCTCCAAATACATTCCAATCTCATGTCTCACCCCCGGGGCCCTTCTAAGGGGACTGATATCTTTAGAAAAGCAACGGGTAGAGAACTAAATAGTCTGATACTTTCATGTTAATTCTCACATTTAGCTGTCCTATCTTCCAGATCTTTGCTGGAAGATGAGTTTTTGCCACTGTGGACTGAAAGTGGGTGTCAACCTCAGCAATCCTCTTACCTGATCTTGGATCATTGCTCCGCCGAAAGCCCAAATGGCAGCGAACACAAAATAAAGCTCATAAGTTTCCTTGGGGCAGTCTGCAGGGATGTCCTCCTTGGTCAGGAGACACTCGAGAAGGTGGCACAGCATCTGAACCATGCTCTGCTCTGAGATTGGAATTATCTTCTGAAATCTGAAAAGAGAGAACCAAATAGGCTCTAAAACACTGGGTTCCCCATTCTAGAGGCATTATAGACAGCTACGGAACCCACCTGGGTTTAGTGGACTCATGATTTGTCAAGTTCTCTGGGATTACAGAGGACCATGGCGCTATGTAAGCCTTTGTGCTCATCAGCTATTTTGGGGCCAGCTCCCTTTGTAAAGAAGTATGGGCCCAGAGTGTTTCTGAGAAGGGTCCTTTTCTCCCCTTCCTTCCCTCTGATACCCTCCCCTTCTCCTCTCTCCTTCTCTGAACACTGATGACCCCCCTCAGTCCTTGGGAATGTAGGCAGCTGCAACCAAACAAGTAACTATATCAGTAGTTTCATTCCTTTCACAGTTTCCTTAATTATCAAAAAGTACTAGAGTCAACTAGGTGTAGTTCTGAGGTTCCACAACTTCAGCTCAGAGGAGTTCTGTCAATTAAGACACATTGAAAACATTTTCTCTCGGGCTGGAGTCTTATCTGGTGGGGAGGATGGAGAGGCAGAATGGGCCAGGATAGATGGTTATTTTACACAATCATGATTTACTTGTTGGAGTGCCTCTTCCAAAAATGTACCTCTGTAATTTTGTCCTGGCCTGGCTTTTGTACTTTTTATCTTGGCTTTGGTCTTGACTGAAAGTCAGATATCAAGAGATGCACAAAGGTGCATCTATGCCCAAGGGAGTGGGAGCAAGTGTATGTGCATGTGCACACACGCGCACACGGGCACGTTCATCCCATCACATGTACACAGATCACACCACATCCCACAGGCTGAACCCCTCCTGCATGCCTGCCCACATGGCCACCTCTCATGGGAAGGTGAGCTCACAGGCTGCACAGAGGCAGGGTTCACTGTTACAAAGTGAGCAATGCCATCAACTGACATCTTACAAGTCATTTATGGGCACTCGGCCTCAGTTTCTTTCATAGCATTCTCTTCTCTTCAGTGTTTTGTGTTAGCGGTTGTTTTTAATCTCGTTGCAGTCCTTATAGCCACGCTGTGAAGTGGTCTAATAGTCTAGGCATTACTTCCATGAATAATGAGGAAACTGAGTATATCATAGGCTTTCCTTCATTTTCTTGACACATATTTGTAACAGAATGTCAAAATGGAACCACCTTAGACTCAGTTTTGGATGAGGCACCAAGACAATAAGGTGTCAACTACTCTTATATTCCAAACTGAGATTCTAGAGAACCTAGGGGACACTTGCAAAGGGCTTTGCAACCCTGGCCTCCCATCTTCTCAAGGGTTTAGAGGATCAAAGTGGGAGATGCTGGAGGGGCTAGAAATCAGCATACAGGATTTTGGAGGGAACCCTGGTGTGCGACGAGTGCCCCTCTCCCATATGGAAGGCGGGTGCCAGTGCCTGGCAAACCCTGAAGAGACTCTCTAATTTCACAGTGGGATGTAGGTGTAGAGGTTGATTGCTGGTGCAGCCTGTGCTCCAGTTTGTCAAGGCACAGGAGAGGTACTTCCTGGAATCTGGGTGTAGGAAATGAGAATGCAAGGGGACCATCCTGAGGGGTTTGAGTGAGGAGTTGTCCAGGACTGGCTATGGAGAGGCATCGACTTGCTTCAAAGAACAGAATAAGGGAGATCTCCAGTGATGGGATGGGGTCCAAGGAATCCACGAAAGTTTCTAAAGAGAAAGAGTCAGATTTCCAAATCTGTCAGTCAGGATAGCAAAGGCCATGCAGTTCTAGTCAATGAGACCTTTCCTGCCCCTTACTCTCTTCTCTCTGTCCCCCTTCAATCCTACAGCTAGTGAGGGAGCAGCTGACAGAGTAAGGAGAGAAGTCAAGGACACTCTCCTTTCCCACTGCAGGTCAGAGCTAGAGCAGGCCTGAGCTGTGGGGGCAGAGTGAGAAGCTTTCATTGTAAGTGTAGTTGGCTTTTTAAAATTTTCAGTGTGTGTGTGTGTGTGTGTGTGTGTGTGTGTGTGTGTGTGTGTGCGCGCACGCGCGACTGTGCGTTCGTGCGTGTGTGTGTGTGTGTGTGTGGAAGTGATCATATGCCTTTTTGTTACTGAACAATGACCAGAATAGTCACCTTTATTTCACCCAGGGGCAGGAGGAGAAACAGCCACATAAAATGGTTTGGAAGGAACAGTGGGAAACGAAATAAAGTTGCTTTATAATCACCCATTATGAGGCCTGCTCGTTCAATGTAAAAATTACTATGTGTTCACATTGCACAGCATTGTAGTAACAGGGCCACATAAAGCTGGCATTCCGATACTGTGAATAAAACAGAAGACTGTGAAGGAAGTGCCTTGTTACTAACTAGCTGTGACGCCATGGGAGCATCATAGAACTTCGGCTCCCTTATCTACAGGATGGTTAGCCCTCTTAGCAACGTTGTGAGAATGAAATGAAATAACACCCAGCGCAGGCACCATAAATTACAGCTATGCGTTTTTTCCTTGATAGCCATTCGGCTCAGAGATTGGAGGTGAGTTGTCTCTGAATAGACAACACAGAGCCGTCAATGCTTGTTTCAGGGGCTTGTGCATGCTCCTGAGCACAAAAGCGTGTACACACACACTCATACACACACTCATACACAAACAGACAAGAGCTTGGCATCTCTTATTCTATAAGTGCCGAGGGGGAAATGGCCTAACTTTTAGTCAGAGGACATACTGGACAAGTGTCTCAGCAAAAGAGAAAGAATATCACATATAACAGTGGGTGCACTATTTTCCTGAAACCTTCCCATCGTGGTATTTTAACTCTTTGTGGCCCTTGCCCATTTCGGACACTCACCACTATTGGCCTTCCAGACATGGCCTGCTGCCAAGGCTGCTTTATCATTAGATCCCATGGCCATAGAGCCCACAGGTCACAAGGGGGTAAAGGCGTTTCCAAGGTTTATGAAAATGTTGAAGTTTGGAAAAATAATTACTGATGCCAAAATATAAAAATCACAAAAATCAAAATTAATAAATGTTTAAATATGAAAAAATATACCCCTATGTCAACTATTCAATTGCAACTCAGTTTTTAGTTATATAAAAATTCATTCTTAACATGGGTGGGTATTGATAGGATGAGGGGCAGGGCATATGAGATAAGAGTGCCTCGGGCCCTCTTTCAGTGGAAAGTCCTCCCTTCACCTCTGCCCCTATGCTTGCAAACAATTCTCCATCCTATGGTTGTTAGACCAACAAATAAGGAACCAAGGATCATTTTGAGTGATGGACTTAATTTCTGGGTAAAATAATCCTGACCCTAACCTGATAAATCTTCAGGAACAATGGATCTCTGAGTCATGTTGCTTTCACAGCACCAGCCTCTGATAGTTGAACTTGGCTGAACTACAAGGTTGGGTGCTTGATTCATAGAATGATGCAACAATTGTCAAGAAAAAAGAGTGTACAACAAAAGCAGGTTCCAAACATTGGAACCTCTCTCTGCAGACACATATAATATTCTTGCTGTAATAAGTATCCTTTTGATTAAGGGTAATTAATCTCTTGTTGATTTTATTTTTGCAAACCCATAATGGGAAAAGTGAACTCACAGTATCCAGAGGGGTAGGACTGGTTAAATGATGCATCATACCTGATTCCACATTATCTGGGCCATGAACATAAAATCCAGGAACAGGAAGTGGGGACCCCAGTCACTGACAGGTGTCATCTTCACCTCTAGGTCTGTTGATCTGACCTGTGTATTATCTGTAGGGCCAGCTGCGTGCTCCGCAAACTAAAGGATCTCAGAATTGTTACCTGATATTGCAACTCACAGCCTCCTTCAAATACACCCATGTGGCACTTGCAAAAGGCAGTTTAAAACTTCATCCTCGTCACTCATCTCACTTCCTGCCTGAACTGACAGTAGGCACCCCGTGGCCATCCTAATGTCTGTTGCTCTTTGCCATCTGCAGTGCCCAGAGGGGAATGGTCTGGGGACATCTGACTTCAGGGACAGGACAGACATAACATCAGTGAGACAGAAGGTGTGAGCCAACAGGCTGTTTAGAACTGCTTTAACTTGTGACCTTCTTTATTTCTTGGCCTACCTGGTTCTGAGGGTGTCTAAGCAGGTTGGAATATACTTGTCAAACAGAATGGTTAAGTTGGCTCTTTCTGTCTGGATTTCCCTCTTGTCAATCCAACTGCTAACTGGAGGGTTCCATCCCAGGTCTGCAGGGTTGATGTACAGGATCCCTGGGAACATACAGAATATTGTTCAGTGAATTTTCCATGGATGTCAGTATATTCTTCACCTCTGAGTTACTTTAATTATTTAGAAAATTGAGTGATATTAGCTGATGGACAGCAGTGTTGAGAAGGATCCTAAGGCCAAGTCTAGGCTCAGAAGGAGAGAAGGCTGTGATTGATTAGAAATAGTGGGCATGGTACAGAAGTGTGTAGTGGGTTAAATGGTGGCCCCAATAGGATATGTCCATGTCCTAATCCCTAGAACTTGTAAATGTGACCTTATTTGGGAAAAGGGCCTTTGCAGAGGCAATTAAATTAAGGATCTTGAGGTGAGCTTACCCTGGATTATCTGGGTGGGACATTTACAAGTGTCCTTATAAGAGACAGGAGAGGAAAAGACACACAGAGAAGGCCATGTGAAGATGGAGGTGGAGGATGGAGTTATGGGGCCAGAAGCCAAGGAACGCCTAAGCTGGAAGATGCAAGAAAGGATTCTCCCCTAGAAGGCTGACACTTTGATTTAGGGTGTCTGACTTACAAAACTGTGAGAGAATACATTTATGTAGTTGGAAAAGCCACCGTGTTTATCATAATTTGTTATGGCAGTCCTAGGAAACAAATACAGAGTGAGAGAGATGATTCTTCCAGCCTATGTCCTCCAACCTCAGCACAGGTCCTTGAAAGGGCATCTGATATTACGGTAGAGTCAAACCAATCCTCTTCATTTTTTAGTCTCTGCTGATATATTTGGCAGTGGAATTGGAGGGAAGTTAAGGTGTAAAGTTGTTACTGCCCACCAGGATGTAGTGAAAATTGCAATGCTTGGTCATCTCCACTGACATGGAGGCTAGAACTGGCCTAAAAGTAGCCTAATTTGAGGCACTTAGGTGCAGAGGACAGTTGTCCAGGTCAGGGGCCATTTCCCTTCCAATTAACATAACATTTCTGAATTAAGAACATCCCGGGCCTGGCCTTAGAGCACTTACTTGCTCACCTGTGATGTACATTAGGACTGTAAATTAGGCCAGAGTTTTGGGTGATTAGTGTCTGGCTCCTGTTTGGAGCTCCCTTCAGAGCCAGCAGCATCACATGGAATGCTAGAGGCACCTGTCTTCAACTGAGCACTTTGTTTTCTCCTCTTTCTTAGGTCGTACCTGCTCTGGAGACAGTTGCTGGAGTGGCCGTGCGCAGGTGACTGATCTCAAAGAGAAGCCTCATTGTGGGATTCAGAGGGATCCTCTCATTGCTTGCCAGGGTCAGCACCTGCAGACCACAGGGGGAGACACGCCAGTTCGGAAGGCATAGCCAGCTGGTGGGAATTTCGCGGATTACTCCTGGTAGGGACTATGAATGATTATTTCCTTCTTTATGATTATAGTTGACCCTTGAACAACACAGGGGTTAGGAGCACCCACTGCCCATGGAGGTGAAAATCTGCATATAGTTTAAGTCAGCATTCCACATAGGCAGATTCCCGGCCACCAGTCAACCCTGGAACAACATGGGTTTGAACTGAATGAATCAATTGAAAAATCTGTGTATAAGTGGACCTGTGCAGTCTAAGCCTCCATTGTTCAGGGTCAACTATATAAGTACGTCCTAAATTTTCTGCAACTATCCTGTCTTCCTGTATCCCCTCTACGTGTGTGTGTGTGTGTGTGTGTGTGTGTGTGTGTGTGTGCTGAAATCAAGAAAAACGTTATCTAAAAAGTTTAAATTGATGTCAATGATTCAAGTTGGAATAATAAGATTATTAAAGGAAGAAAGCTTAGGCTTCATATCACTACTGTTTCTTTTAAAACAATCCCTCTGGGCCGACCGAGTGATTCAGTTGGTAAAGAGCTTGCTCAAGAGTGCGAGCTCTGAGCAATAGTGGTTTGATTCCTGGCCTGAGCTGAGCTGCTGCTGAGCTGCCAACAGGTGGAAGGATGGCTCAGCTAAAAAAAAAAAAAATTTAAATAAATAAATAAATAAATAAATAAATAAATAAAGTAGTCCCTCTGGGAGAGCATACATTTATTGTGATGAATCTGTAAATGGTGAAGCCATCCTTAAACTTCTAAGCTGGATGTGCTTTCTGAACAAGTTCAGGAACAGCTACCAGCTTAACAGCTACTTTATTGGCATTCAGTTAGTTTTCAATGTTGATAAAAAAATAAAATATCCTCTTTGTGAATAAAGGTTGGTCACTGCTGCGGGTGTCTGACAGGCTCAGAATGTATCTGATCCTCAGTTTCTTTATTTATAAAAAATGAAAACCATAAAGAAAAAGGATTTAAATAGGTGATTTAAGGCTTCTTTCAGCTGTAAATACTAAGTTAATCTATGTGCAGAGGATTCTGAGTTATAACAATGCTAACATCAGTGTGAGCAATGGCAGTGCCGCTGAAGTAAGTGAAATGGTTTCTTCCTCATTTGGATGAATTAGTTCTGAGATGTTAGTAGAGACACCAGTAATAAATGAAATCATGATCTTGAAGCGATATCTGCACTCCATGTTCATTGCAACATTATTTACAATAGGTAAGACATGGAAACAACCTAAATGTCCATCTTGATGAGTGAATGAATCAAGAAGATGCGGTATATATACAATGAAATATTACTCAGCCATAAAAAAAGAAGAAAATCCTGCCATTTGTGAAAACATGGATGGACCTGGAAGGTATTATGTTAAGTGAAATAAGCCAGACAACAGAGAAAGACAAATACTGTGGAATCTAAATAATTCAGACAGAGAAAGACAAATATGTGGAATCTAAAAAAAACAAACAAATAAAACAAAAAAACAAGAAACAAGTCACAGAGACAGAGTAGACTGGTGCTTGCTAGGGATGGGGTGGGGTGGAGTGGGATCGGGGAGGAAATGAGTGAAGGTGGTCAGTGATTAAGATGAATAATTTTGAGGGCCGGCCGAGTGGCTCAGTTGGTTAAGAGCTCGCTCAAGAGTTTGAGCTCTGAGCAACAGCGGTTCGAGTCCAGCCCGAGCTGAGCAGC